CAGATTTCCAGTCCTGTATGATACCTTTTTCAATCAAAGATGTTCATGATAAAACATCTGGTTATGTATAGATAAAACTAGTATGTCCCTGATTATAACCTAAAAACTAAGAGCAGTGGATTCAACTACAAGGCTGTGGGTGGAGAGAATGTTTAAAACAAAACTGGCTGCCCAGTATACATTTTAGTGCCTCTTATCACTGAAGCATTTTTCTATTTGTCTAAACTGTATATAAAACTCTGTTGATGGCATAAAAATGCTCTGGGAACATCAGCACACAATTTGTAAATGGTCCATTTGCAGATCAGCAGAAAACATTTAGGAGCATGTTTTCCCCTGACTCTCTCATGTTCTCCCACAGAATAACAAGACAATAAAATCAATGTAGGGACGCGGACAATTCCTTCTCACCCATGGTCTCATTCTGGCCCACAGAGAGTACAGCATTTATAACCCATCTCATATTTCTTAACTTGCTTTCAGAAGGGTTTTGGCTGTGTTTTTGTAAACCTTACCAAGTTAGCGTTAAATTATTACATTCCAGTCTTTACACTCAAATAAGCAAGCATAGAACAAAACACTTGTTTAATGTGGCTACGGTAGTTTGTCTCTTCTTCCCTTTGCTGGAAATGCAGAGGAGGTATTATGCTGGCTTCCAGCAGAAAAGAGCATATCCTATCACTCTTGAGCAGCCCCCATTGTCAAATACTGCTACATTTCAGGGGTATCTGCAAGGATTGAACTCAGAATCCGTTGCTCCAAAAAACTGCCAACTCTCCCTGCTTGAGCTAATGGAAAATTCCCATTGACCTTACTAGAGCAACAGTATAGTCCCTGTGTGAAGTGGTTGCTACCACAAGTCCTTGAGATGGCATGGCATTCCATTCAACTGAAGTCTGTGATACACCAATACATTGGCAATTACATTCCTGGAAGACAAATAAAGGAAGAGGATGAGGGTAGGGAAATATGTACTAAATACTTAGACATCTTGATTGACTGAAAAAACAACATACACAAGGCAAAATGGTGGGGAGCAGCCAACTGCTCATGTTGTGTTTTTTTAAATTGCTTACATAAATACCTAATGTTAATAAAAAAACAGGATATGATGTTCTGATTATGCCTCCAGATACAATGGTCTGGACCCCCCAGTTTCATAGCTTTTCTGCTCTGGAATTCTGCACTCCCTACAGCATGCTCTGCAGAGCATTCCCTGAGCACAGGAGCAAACAGAATGCTCCTTACAGAGCGAGCTGATTGACTTTCTCAGTGCCGGGGTCTACCTGAAAAATGAACACGACATCCCACAACCTTTCTGATGTTTCTGATATTCTCACTTTGCTTTAACACAGCAATTGCCAATTTCAGAATTTGCATATTCCATTGTTCACAGTGCATCTCATGGGTACATGGCTTCACAATTAAAAAACCATAGGGACAGATCCACAGAAGGACTTTGGTGGCTAACTGCCATTGTCGGTGTTAAACTCCCATGTTTAGGAACACTAAGATCCTCAAAACCCTAACTCAGCTGCTGCCTAACTCTGCAAGTACTAAAGGCCCTAGATGAGTACCACTGTAAGTTTACCCTAAGTGCTCAAGTTTGGCATTGCCACAGCTGCCTCAGTCTGAACCTTGCCCAGCAGCTCAGTGCCTTTCACACATTTAAACCCCAAAACAGGTGTTGTCCTACATATCTTGCCAGTAAGACACAATATAATAGATGTGTTCTGAGCCTGCCTAATCCCAAACAAAATGTTGGGGTGGAGAAGGATAAGAGAGCATCCTCCTTTATAACAGTTATCCCAGGGGTTAGAGCCATCACCTGGGATGTGGGAAACCACCTTTCAATTCCCCCTTCTGCCTGCCAAGGAGAAGGGTTTTGAACTAGGGATGTGAACAAGTTGTGGACTAGACGATTAACCACTAAGCCTAATCTTATTGGTTAATCTAGTCAACTACTCACATCCCCCTCCCCTTGCTGCCTCTGTATCACTGCAAAAGCCACTGATACAGAGGCAGCAATGCGAGGTGGCAGGGGGCTCCCTAGGAGTGGGGCTGGATTACACTGACTGCTGGCCCCACCCCCAAGGACTATAGAATAGTCGACTAACTGCTAAGAATCCATGTGGTTAGTCGACTATTCTATTATCTGCTATCTAACATCCCTAGTTTGAATATGGGTTTCCCATCTCTCAGGTAAGTGCCATGAGTACTGGATTAGAGAGTCAGTCTCGCTTGCTCTCTGGCCCATTGCATACAGAAATACAGTGACTCAGCTTCACCAGGAAAGACGGAGAAAGGTCCACACTAGACTCTTCCACAGCTCTCACCTGCAAGTGGGTGGTTCCTCTTCAAATCCCAAGTCTCTGTCGCCTGAACCTGAGCCACCTGGGCGAGTGCCTTCACCCCTGGGCTATAGGCTGTCACTACCATTCTGTGTGTAGTTAGGCATGTCCTGCTGCAGAAAAATAGCTTAGGTGCCTGATTCTAGGGGAGAGTTTAGGGCTGTGACTCCCAACTGGAAATAGATGCCTGCCTCAAGTGACACCAAACTCCCTGAGAGGGGCAGGGCTTAGGCATCTGCATGTGCTATTGGCTAACAGGCAGCTTCCCCACCTAATGGGTTGGCTTTTGTGGATTCCATTCTTAGGCACCTCTCTCTCTTCATTGCTTGTATAAGAAGCATAGGCACCTAACTCATGGATTGTGGATCCCATTGGCTGGTGAAGTACCTAAAAGTTAGGCAGTGCAACACTGAACAATGAAATGTCTAAAGTACCTTTACGGATTTAGTCCTAGAAAATCAGGACACCAGGGCCCAACAGAAAATATGACCTACCGATACAATTGCTAATGCCACTTTAATGGTTGTGAGTATCCAGTGGGATCTGCAAGGGAGGCATGGCTTGCAAGGTACAGGAAGGGTTCAGAATATTCAAGGGATGGCAAGTGGTGTTGGATTGCTGTTATTGTTTAAAATGGGTGCTAGTTAAGGCAGGCCAGTTTGGTTAATGTCATTTTTATCAATACTAGCATTACCTGTCCCATTGTGACGGTAGATGTACATATTGCCTCCTCCCTCCCCCCTGCTCCTGAGGGCGGGGAGGCTTGGGCCATGTAGCCTCTTTCCTCCCCGCTGCTCCTAGGGGTGAGGGGGAGGGCAGTTGGGGTTGTGCATCCTCTTTCCTCCCCGCTGCTCAGGGGAGGCTGGGGCACCCACAAGGGGAGAGAGAGGAGAGCTCAGTTGAGGGGTCAGGACTGTAGGTGGGGCTGGAGGCCTGCCTCCCCCTAGAATCTTCTCAAGTCTTCTCAAATATTCTCTGTGACAGACGGCATGACTGACACCTCTTTTACAATAGTATAGATAAGTTGTATTTAAATTTATGGCTATCCATAAATAGACATGTACATATTTTACCTGAATAATTGAAATTGCATGTGCCTAATATTGTGCTACTCAGAAGAGTATGTTTAAAAAAAGAGAAAGGAACCTTTGTACTCAGTAGACCTGTTCCCTGGGTGTAATTTATTTGTCTAAGGTTTTCGTACACTTTTGAATCAAGGACTTGCACTACTGAAAACAAATGCACTTGCCTTCAGTTCTAGTACCTCAATGTAGAGCATCCAGGATAAATGTACTAGACTATAGTCCTTTAAGGTATAAGACAGATACAAGAGCTAGTATGTTCCTCCTCTTGAGATGTTTTTATGTCCCTCTGGGGTCTCACATTTTATTTTTATATCAATTTATATTGTGTTTTAAAAAAAATTGTAAGCTGCCTCGCATATTTTAAATACAGAGGTGGGTAAAATATGTTAAATAAATAAATAAACAAATATATAAATAAATAGTAGAGATAGATGAGCTGCCTCAAAATTTTGCACTAGCTAGTTCCCAGCATTGAAATCCAGAGTCTTTGTTCCTAGTGGCCATGTGCCAATCATGTGAGGAGGAACATTGCTCTAATAGCTATTCTTCAAGTAATCAGTCACATTTGTTTTCCTTGTCTTTCTAATGTCTGTTGGTACATAAATACGCCTGTTTCTTCTTGTTTCCATGCAATATTTATTTGCATTTTTGCTCAAGTTTACTTACTAGAAAGGTAATACTAGAAAGGTATTTCACCAGAGCACACTAAGAGCTTGTCTTCACTACTGGGTAGATCAGTGCTCTGGCAATCAATCCACTGGAGGTTAACTTAGTGGATCTTCACCAGACCTGCTAAATTGACCACTGAACACACTCCCATTGATTCTGGTACTCCACCGGAATGAGACACACAGGATAAGTCAATGGGAAAGTTTCTCGCGTCAACCCAACATGGTGTACCACCGGAATGAGACACACAGGATAAGTCAATGGGAAATTTCTCGCGTCAACCCAACATGACACCACAGATAGTCAGCATAAGGTACATTGACCCCAGATACGTTATTCACATAGCTGGAGTTGGGTAATTTATGCTGACTTTAGCCCATAGTACAGGCCTGCTTGAAGTGAGCATTCTGTAATGGTCCTTAAATATATAACTCCAGTCTCATTGTAATGAAAATGGCATGAGCATAATGGCATGAAAGTGGATGGCACAGATTATGTGAATGGTTTAGTCAGAGTCTATTTACCTGCAAAGGTAATTATTAGTTTATAATTTAAGAGAGATTTTTGGGATATAGATGATGTAGTTGTATAAATAATTTTTCTGGAATACATATTTTATTATTTTCCTATTTTCCATCTGAAGATGGATGTTTCTATACCTATAGGGTAGATATATATCTGAACTGTCCTTGATTATTTAAAGTAATAACTTTGGGTAGAAAAATGATAGTAGCTAATAGATCTTTCATCATGAACAGAATAATTCAATTGTATGTGAAACATGAGAAATTGACTAGGAGTGTACAATAACAGTGATATAAAAGCTGGGTGTATACAGATAACATTCTGGTTCTCATAACACACAGTTTAACGAATTATGTAATGTATTTTACAGCATGCTTTGTCTGACAAGGCCACTGTAAGAATATTTGATCCAAAGACTACTTGTTTGCAAGAATGCCTTATTACCACTTTTCAGGAAGCTTACTTTGTCTCAGAAAGTTTTGAAGAAGCCAAAGAAAAAATGAGGTAAATTCTTTCCCTTGAGTCTTAAAAATGAAATCTTATTTTCCCTTCTCTGGATATGGCAGAAATAGGTGTTAATTTTCTTTTTCTTTCAGGGACTTTGCAAAATCAATCAATCGTCCCTTTTCAGTGTATTTCAACCCATACACGCAAAGCATTGAAATTCTGAAAGACACCAGAAGTATAGAAAATGTTGTCCAGGACCTTCGGAGTGATCTGAACACGGTGTGTGATGCTTTAAGCAAAATGAACAGATATTTGGGAATTTGATGGCTATGGCACTGCAGCTTTGCTGTTCGCTGCTCCTTCTGTGGCTATGCTAGCAACATCATGTGGTCCAGTTTCTTAGAGCCATCCATCTTCCCTCTGTAGCTTGGTCAGTGATTTGCATCATTGTGTAGCTCTAATTGTAACTTGTGGATGAAACAAGGCAATACTAATTTGCAAACTCAACAAGAAATATGGTGGCCTACAAACAGCAATTCCATAAGAGAATATCATGTAAAATATGCTATTAAAAGCTTACCTGACAATGATTTTGTTTACTTAAAGAGACTGTTCACTTAAAAGCTACATATAAGAAATGGCTCATGATTTCATTATGATTCTAAACATACCTATTGTTTCTTTACAACCTCTTGTCCTTGATAGAGTCTGAAAAAAAATTGCTAATTTTTCCCTTGTATGGATCCATATTTCTATGTATACTGGAAAGAACAACTTTTCCTTTTATGACTCTGCAATTGATTGTCTCCTGTAATTGAACAATAGAATGTATATAATACTGAGAAGGGAGGGAAGAATATACATTATTGTTAAAAGGACTTCTGAGTTGTAAACTATAGATATTTAATGGAAAAATATTTCAAATTAGCTGAATAATTGCAAAAAATGTACAACTCTTAATTCAAATAGGAAGATATTTTAACTTAATACCTGCCACTACTTATGAGTGCCACAGAAATTCTTCCCTTGAAAAGAGGTTTTAATAGTGAGACTCCTGATGTCATTCCATGTGGTCAAGTGTCAATGTAAAACCCGCTATGATTATGTGCCTTCCTCATTCCCATATTCAGATATATTTTCAGAGAGATTTCATATTTCTATGATTCTTGTTATCAAGTGGCACTCATTTTATGTGGAAATTACTAGCAACATTTAGAACATCTGCAAAGCTATTTCAGACACATATTGAAACCACTTTCAGCTGAAATATCTGTGCAGATGCTCAAAATGTTGCTAGCAATTTCAACATAAAATGAGTGCCACTTGAAAACACAGACTCATAGAAATGCAGGGCTGGAAGGGACCTTGTGAAAGGTCATCAAGTCCAGCCCCCTGCAGTGAGGCAGGACCAAATATATCTTGACCAGGTTTTTCTCTAACCTGTTCTTAAATATTTCAATTATGGAGATTCTACAACCTACCTTGAAAGACTATTTCAGTGTTTAACTAGCCCTATAATGAAAATGTTTTCCTAATAGCTAACCTAAATGTCCCTTGTGCAGGATAAGCCAAGTATTTTTTGTCCTCTCTTCAGTGAAAATTGATCATTGCCCTCTTTATAACAGCCCTTAATAAAATGGAAGAATATCAGATTCCCATTTCAGTCTTCTTTGCTCAAGATTAAACATACCAATTTGTTTTTACCTTTCCTCAGAAATCAGGTTTTCTAAACTCAGTCATTTTTGTTGCTCACCTTTGAATTTTCTGCAATTGATCCCCATCCTTTTAAAAATACTGCACCCCAGACCATAGGGTATGTCTACACTAGCCCCCTAGTTCGAATGAGGGAGGCTAATGTAGGCATTCGAAGTTGCAAATGATTTAAATATCCTGGGCTGTATTTGCATGTTCCTGTCCGGTCCCCATTTTTAAATTCTACTAGTCCGAAGTAACTGCCCGTGGCTACACGTGGCAGTGAAACGGTAATTCGAACTAAGTCCTTCCATGAGGAGTAACAGTTAATTCGAACTAAGGACTTAGTTTGAATTACTGTTTCACTGCTGCAAGTAGCCGAGGGCAGTTACTTTGGACTAGTGAAATTTTAAAATGGCGACCGAACGGGACCATGCAAATACAGCCCAGGATATTTAAATCCCGGGCTTCATTTGCAACTTCAAATGCCTACATTAGCCTCCCTAGTTCGAATTAGAGGCTAGTGTAGACATACCCATACATAGTACTTCAGCTGAGACCTCAATGCCAAGCAGAATGGGATAATTTCACCAGCACAATGACACTTCTATTAATTGCCATGGTATATTAGCCTTTTTGTAACTGCACCATCAGTTTGTTGTAACTTCAGATTCTTTTCTTTTCAGGAGCTCTGACAGTGGTATCTGATAGTGGTAGCTGGGACAGAGGCTATATTGATGATGCTTATTCAGGATAAAAAGTCTATAGGGTCAGTTACATAGCAGTGGTGGTGAGGCTGTTGATTTGTAAAAATCCTTCTGGAATCCATTTAAAAGCCTTAGTTCAGTATTAGTCTATGTGCAGACTTTGTTTATATTCTTTCATGATAATTTTGGGGTTAACACTGAGTAGTCCTGGAGACCTTAATCTTGTGAATTTAGACTTTCTCTGTCAAAGAATAATCACAATGCTCTATGTCGACAGAAGTTTTGTCGACAGTATCTGTCGACAAAACTTCTGTCAACAAAGAGCGTCCAGACACATTGAGTTCTGTCGACAAAGCAAGCTGCTTTGTCGACAGAACCCTGTAGTCTAGACGCAACCCTACAGGCAATAACACCTTCTGTCGACAGAACTCTGTCGACAGAAGGTGTTATGCCTCGTAAAATGAGGTATACCAGCGTCGACAAAACTGCTGAGTTCTCATAAAACGAGGTTTTCTGCAGTAGAAAAAACTGCCACGATCTTTCAATTTACTTTCGAAAGAATGTGGCAGCAGTCTAGACTCAGGGGAAGTTTTTTCAAAAAAAGGACACTTTAAAAAAAAAACCAAACCCTGTAGTCTAGACACACGTAAGATAGAAAGGACCAGGCCCGAAACTTTCTATATATTTGAAGTTCTTTGAATAAGCCCCTTGACAGCAAATGATTACAGCAGGCTTTTCTTGAATGAAGAATAGGTAATGTACGTTGTTGCTTTGAAGCTAATGTCTGTTTCCTAGGTATACACTAGTAACTAATTGTATTCGTTAGCATAAGGCAGTTAACCATTCAAAAAGTTCAGATAGTTTTGGCAAAATTATTATTACACAAGTCCCATCTAAATGTTAATATCCTCTTTTGCCCTCTGAACCCAATGAATACCCAATGAATCATTAAAGACAGGAACAGAAAATTATCCTCTACAAGCTAATTAGATCTCATTGTTAAACTTCTAACAACATATAGGTAAACAAAGAAAAGTACCTACTTTTGATCCTCTAATAATACAGGCCTACAGATTAAGTATTCTAGTATATTTAAGGTGGCTTAAGGAAACTGTCTACAAGAAATAGTCCTGTTTACTATTTCAGTATTCTTCTAATATGTCCTTAAGGGTTGCTTTTATGTCACTCAGCCTGCTGGTTGATTGCTTAACACTAAGTGGCTCAGCATCACAGGAATATTACAGTTATTTCCTATATTGTATTTGTGCATTTGAATTTTCCTTCCTCAGTGTAGTATTTTGCACTTATTTTTACTGAATTTCATCTTGATTATTGTAAACCAATTATCCAGTTCATCAAGATCACTTTGAATTCTAATCCTGTCCCCTAGAGTGTTTGCAACCCTTCCCAGCTTGGTGTCCTCCGCATATTTAATTAGCATGCTCTCCACTTTGTTATCCAAGCCATCAGTGAAAATATTGACTAGTATATGACTCAGGAGAGACCCCTGGAAACCCATTTAATATGTTCTCCCACTTTGACAACAAACCATTGGTAACTACCCTTTGAGTATGGTCTCTGAACCAGATATATACCCACCTTATAATACTTTCAGATGGATGACATTTTCCTAGTTTGCTTATGAGAATGTAAAATGGGACTGTGCCTTATTAAAATCAAGATACATCAGATGTATAGCTCCCCCATGTCCATCTATTGGTTCAGTAATCTTGTCAAAGAAGGAAATTAGGTTGGTATGGCATTATTTGTTGCTGACAAATCTATGTTTATTATATTGTCTTAAGTTCTTATAAAAGATTATTACAGATTTTTTTCTGATATCTTTCTGGATATTAAAGTTAGGCTGGCAGGTCTAAAATTCCTGGGGTCCTCTTTGTCACCTTTCCTAAAGACAGATGCCATGTTTTCCCTTCTCCAGTTCTCTGGGACCACACTCATCCTTCATGAGTTCTCAAGGATAATTATGAATGGATCTGAGATTGTTTGGCTAATTCCTAAGTATCCCAGGGTGAATTTCTTCAGCCTTGATGACCTGAAAACATGTAATTTATCTAAATATTATTTACTCTGCTGTTTCCCTATTTTGGCTTGTGTCCCTTCCCGTTTGTTGTTAATATTAACTATGTTAAGCATAGGGACACAATTAACCTTTTTAGTGAAGCCTGAAGGAAAATAGGAATTTAATATCACAATCTTCTTGATGCCATTTATTATTAACTCTGTTTCCCTGATAACTAGTGGATCTATGCTTCCCTTTGTCTTTCTTTTGGTCCTAATGTATTTGTAGAACCTCTTATTTTCTTTTATGTCTCTTGTTTATTTTGTCTTAGCTTTTCTGATTTTGTATTATTCCTTTGCAATTTGTCCGTATTTTCATTTTTTATAGGATCCCTTTGTTTTTCAGGTTATTAAAGAGCTTCTGAGCTTTTACTTTCCTTCCTCTCTTTCCTTCAAAGTAGGACAGTTTGCTGCTGTTTGCTTTAATTCTGTCTCTTTGCAAAACTGACAGCTCTCCTGAACACCTTGTTCTCATAGATTATCTTCCTAAAGAGCCCCACTTGTCTGTTCTCTGAGTTTGTTAAAATCTGTTTTTAAGTCTATTGTCCTTATTCTGCTGCATTCATGCCTTCATTTCCTTAGAATCAGGAAATCTATAATCTTATAATTGCTCTCTCCCAAATTGCCTTCAGCCCTCGTATTCACAACCAATACCTTCATGTTGGTCAGAATCAAGTGTAAAAGGTACCCCCCCGAGTTTCTTCTTCCACCTTCTGAAACAAGAAGTAGTCCCTAACACATTCCAACAACCTACAGAGATTTTGTGTTTTACCATATTACTTTTCTTACAGATGTCCAGGTAATTAAAGTCCCTCATTACTACCAGGTCTTGTGTTTTTGGATATTTCTGTTTTGTTTTGTCTTTCTCCTGATAACAGACCTCTTCCATGATGTCACCCCTGTTTCCCTCCCCCGGACCATTTTGTCTTCACTTAGGGTTCATCTAGACTACATTCCTCTTTCGAAAAAGAAATGTAAACGAGTCTGCTTGAAAGTGCAAATGAAGCGCAGATTTAAATATCCCATGCTTCATTTGCATATTTGCGTCCAATTGCTGTTTTGAAAAAGGGTATTTTGAAAGTGAAATTTCAGTCTAGACGCGATTCTTTTGAAAAAAAAAAACCTTTTTCAAAAGAACCCGTACTCCTAATTTTTTCAGGAGTACAGGTTCTTTCAAAAAAGATTGTTTTTCCCGAAAGAACCGTGTCTAGACTGCAGTTTCACTTTTCAAATAGCCTTTTTCAAAACAGTGCTAGACTGCAGTTTCACTTTTGAAATAGCCTTTTTCAAAACAGTAATCGGACGAGAATATGCAAATGAAGCACTGTATATTTAAATCCGCGCTTCATTTTCACTTTCGATTTGCCTAATTTACATTCTTCTTTTGAAAGAGGAATGTAGTCTAGACATAGCCTTAGAGACTTTGAACCAGTCTACCTTTCACCTCCTTCTGGATCTGACAGCTAGCGCATATAGTTTTGATGTATAATGCAACACCTCCTCCTTTTTTACCCCTATCTGTGCTTTTTGAGCAAGCTATACCACTCCCTATCCAATATTTCAGTCATGAGATTTGTCCCACCAAATCTGTGAAGCCAATTATGTCATAAATGTAGTTTGTATAGTAAGAGTTCCACTTTTTCCTGTATTCCTTGCATTTGTGTATAGACATACAAGATGCTGAGCAAATTCTCTTGTTGTTTTCCTTCTTGCTTCTCCTATGATTCTACACTCGTTTTCCATTCCCATGCCCTCCAACATCAAATCCACTGTAAGATTACCACTTTACACTTGTCTGTTGGCTTTTGTAACCCGTCCCCTTTGGGCCTAGTTTAAAGGCCTTCTTGCAAGGCTGGTGAATCAGTGTGTGAAGATACTCTTCCCCTTCTTGGTCAGATGACCCCCATCTCTTCCAACCAACACTCCTTTCTGGGACAGCATCCCCTGCTC